GCTGGAGTTCTTGCCGGGGTCCCTCTTGCTCCTCCTCTTCTCCTGCTCCCAAGGACTGTGAGGGTCAGGCATTCTAGGCTGAATATAACTTTGTATCCTGTATTTCTTTTGTTGTTTCATTAAATCTGTCTTCAACCTTGGGATTTCCTCTCCTTTTCCTGATTCCCCTTCTCAACTGGGGAGGGGGTCATCAGGTGACAGAATATCTGCTCTATTTTAGCCCCAGCACAGGCTAAACGTAGATATCCCTTCCAACCCAAACCATTCAATGATTCTACAATTCTATAATACAGAGATGCTGTCGTTACTGCCAAGCAGCACTGACACAGAGTCAAGGCCTTTTCTGCTTCTCACCCCGCCCCACCAGCGAGTAGGCTGGGGGTGCACAAGCTGGGAGGGGGCACAGCTGGGACAGGTGACCCTGACTGACCAAGGGACATTCCACACCGCATAACACCATGCTCAGCATAAAAAGTTGGAGAAAAAAGGAAAGGGTGACGTTCAGAGTTATGGCGTTTGTCTTACCAAGTACCCATTATGTGTGACAGAGCCCTGCTTCCCTAGGGGCGGCTGAACACCTGCCTGCCGAGGGGAAGTGGTGAACTAATTCCTTGTTTTGCTTTGCTTGCACACACAGCTTTTGCTTTACCTGTTAAACTGTCTTTATCTCAACCCATGAGTTTTCTCCCTTTCACTCTTTTGGTTCTCTCCCCCATCCCACTGGGGGGGAGTGAACGAACGCCTGCATGGAGCTTAGCTGCCGGCTGGCCTTAAACCATGACAACGGGAAACCAGTACTAGAGGAATACAATATTCATGGGAACTAAGGCCTATGCACAAACCCTCTACCTTACTACTGTCCTCAGAGGAAATAATTTAGAATTAACAAACCCAGATGCAACTTGCAACTTCACAAATCACAGAAATTTCAGCCTTATTGACCAAAAATACACAGAAGTAATCCCTACTGGAAGAAAATCAATATCATACACCTCTTTTCAAGATTCTGGATCATTGGCAAAGTATAATCATGCTGATAAAACCTTTTTCAACCTCAAAAGCTAAAACTAGTAAACATTCAAAAGAGAACCTAATACTAAAGCTGAATATCTCAAACTCCAAGCTGCAACAGAGGTTTTTACTAGCAAAGGTAAGACTCTAGCACAGTGACACTGTGCACCAAAAATGAGCAGAAGCATAGTATTTTTAGGGTCTAAATCCAGCAGCTACTGATAAAAAAAGAGTTTAAATACCTGAAGTAGTTTCTCTGTAATCTGCCATTCCAAAAAAAACCATGGAGTATTTATTTTGGGTGATATTTTCTATATCAGACTACTCCAGTTTTAGCATTTAAGATAAAAAAAAATAGCTTTATGGTACATCAAACAATTTCATGTCCTTAACAAGATGCCAAACAGTATTGGCACACAGATCAATGAAGACTCTTTTGTAAGTAAAGTCACAAGCACAAACCTGATCCTGTAGTTTGTCCAGATCTGCAGCAACATACACCAACTGAGTACTAGATATAGAAGGCAACGGCTGACTTTCTGGAGAAGACCCGTTCTCTTGGTCCTCACTGGGGTTGAGGCTTACAGAAGATTCCTTTCTACCAACTGGCACTGACTTTTTGCCTTCCTTTGTATTCTCACTGGAAATCGGCCTTACAGAAACCTGAAACATCAAATTGAGATGTGAACCCCAGCAACAGTGAAGGCAGTTGAAGCTGGACAAACAGAAACAGTATACAAAGGATTTCTAAGTTCTCAGCATTAGAATGCCACAATTACAAGGGATATTAACATTCCTAAATTACATTTTAAAAGATACTTGTAAAACAGTTTTTGGTGTACTAAGGAGTTGGATGATTTGGAGCAAGTTTGTCACTACAGCAGAGACCAGTCCAGTCCTACAGCAATTTTCACCTATGTGGTGTTCAAATGAACTACTGCACTGGAGAAATGTGCAAGACCAAAAATGTGATCCTTATCTGCTTTGCAGTAACACAGTTTATTTTCATATGCTGGAATACAAAAATCATAACCACTCATTGCTGTCAAACCACCCCTTTCTCCCACCTCCTCAAGCCCTCTATTCTCAGGCACTTGCTTCACTCAACTACTGTTTTAACTCTGGTACTAATCAGCACTTCTCATAAGCCAATTTAGCTGAGAGAACTGAGTCACTGAGTCTTAAGAAAATGACACAGGGAGATCTCACTGCTCTCTAACTACCTAAGGGGCAGGTACAGAGAAGATAGAATCAGACTTCTCCTTGACGTACAGTGACAGAGTAAGAGGCAATGGACATGGACTGTAGCAAGGGAAATTCTGATCAAGTATCAGGAAAAAGTGGTCAGACATTGGACCAGGGTTCGCAGAGAGGTGTGAAATCACTGTCTTTGGATATACTCAAAATTCAACTTGAAAAGGTTCTGCACAACCTTATCTAAGCTGGCCCTGTTTTGAGCAGGAATTGGGACCAGATGACCTCCAGAAGTCCTTTGAAATCCCTATTATTCTATCATGCTGTCTTCCTACGATACAAGAAACAGGGTGAAAGTTGTATGGCTAGGAGAAGAGCAAAAGCACAACCTCTCCTGCTCAGAATCAGGGAATCATTGATGTTGAGTCAGTTGCCCATGAACTTCCAGTTTCAGTCTCAACACTGAGCAACTGATTCGGACTAACTTACCTCCCCCTCCCTTTTTTTTTTTTTCAGGGTTAGTGTTCACCTGGCTCAGTTTCACAAGCTCATTCACTGTATCAATAAGTAAACACTTACACATACAGAACAAAACCAAAAGATTGTGGCTACATCTTTCAGTGGCAGAGGCAAACTTAAGCATACATGGAAGTATAGCCTTAGCAACCATCACACAGTAATACCACAGCAGCACCGATATTTGTGGTTAACAACATATTTTGCAGTGATACTTTTTATAAAACAACCTCATGAACTGGTTGAAAGTGCTAAAGAATGTTAAGTTGAGGAAAAAAGCTCTTAAAAATAGGTCACACACTTTGCTTCAAAAGGTCTCTTACTGGTTGGTGGACATACCCAATCACCAAAACCATAAGCATGCTGTTCTCTTACCTCACCAATGAACACAGAGTAGCGTGCCAAAATTTGCAGACTAAGTTTCCACAGACGATGTGCTAATAACGGTAGAAACATCTGATCTGACCAGCACTTCAGAAGACTCATCCAGACCATGTGAGTGGCCAAAAGACAGTAAGAGCTGCCAGCTAGAAACAATCAGACAACTAAGGTCAAGTTCCTGAGCGCTTTTTCAAAAGATGTAACATCAGTACAATTGCATTACCTGAGGTTTAAAAAGAAAGTAAAAAAAAAAAAAAAAAAAGAAAAAAAAAAAAAAAAAAGTAAAAAAAAAAAGTCTTCCAAAAAGACACAATCACAAAGATCCCAAAGAGGATTTATTAAGCATTGTACGAAACAAACTTAAAATATTAGGTCCTCATTGCTTTAGACTTTAAATTCCACTAAGTCTTGCTGTAGCTGTGCAGGCAAAAGCAACAAATGAGAATTTGCCTGCAACAAAGGCAGCAGCAGCTTGGCCAAATAATCCACTTCAGGAAATAACATTTCCAGGATAATTTCTGGCTGTCTTATGAAGTTGTATTAGACAACAGAAATAGTCCCTTAGGACTGAACTACTGCTCCTGTCACAGTTGTATCCGAGATATCTGCTAGAAATGTCTAAAACACAGTAGGAATATCCATTTAATATTAAATATTTGTTTTAAATAACCAAATTTTTTAAAGCAGTTCATGCACTAACATTTTATAGCATACAATTAGAGAGCTAAGGAATGTGTCTGCACATTCCAGGCAAACACACTGAAGTGGCAGGATTTACGCATTTTGTCTCCAGTAGGATTTTTTTCTCCTTGCTCTCTTCAAAAAGCGTGTGTGTATATACACAGACACACATATTTATGTAGCTCTTAGCTGCCTTCTTCGTAAGTACTTACTCTGTTAACTGAACTAAGTTTCTCTGACTATAATACACTTCTAACAAATACACCAGGTTTCCCCTTCCACCCTAATCCTTCCTGTGCATACCTCCTCATCTGCTCATACACCACTGTACATTTCTGGAGCAGACACCAACACTATAAACCATAGCAAGCCTAAACGCTGCCAACAGATAGCCATTTTCACCTCTACATAGCTCCGTAACAATTAAGAAAAATACACCCCAATAACACAGCATAGCCTTTTGGTTGTCACTTCAAGGGTGCTAAACGCCAGTTTAGCTTCTTCTTGCACTGAGAGGATAGTTCCACAAATATGTTAACGGCTGCTGCCAAAAGGGGTGTTTTTAGTAAGTAAAGAGATCACTGAACAGTACTCTCATATTGCCTTCTCTATAATACTGTTTAATCAGTTCATCAGAAAACAGAAAGCTCATGTGAACCCGTGGGATGCATGTTACTAAATACTCAACAGACAGGGCTGTAACCACTGCTACTTATGCCACTGATTCCTTCACAATAGAGAAATTATTTTTTGCAATAAAAGTTTACCTGGTGCTTCCTCTAGTGTATCTGAAAGTGCTTCTTCTAAGGCCCCTGCTATTTCTCTGAATCTGAGAGACAGAAAAGTTTTGAATACTACAGTTTAACAATTGCTTAAATTGATGCCTAAACATTTTTTTTCAATGTTTACTTCAGTATTATTTCAATGTGCTTTCAATATACACACACAGCTTTTAAACGTGGGGTTATTTTTGCCCAGCATAAATTGAGATATAAACCAGACCAACATTCAAACACTTGAAAGAGAACCTTTGACATCTTACAGGCAGATACAAAGCTTATACTCTGGGAAACTATTAAAGTTGAAGTTACAAACATTATCAAAATGATAGCTCACAGAGTGTCAAGTCCTCAGCTTTTTTGAGGAGTGAAGTTTTTTGTTTCATTACTAAAAGTGAACACATTGTCTCATACTTGCTTTAGCTGACCTTCAGGTACATCACGTGACACTGGAGGCTTCAGCTTTCTACATGTTTGTTAATGAACCACAGCATAAGGTTCTGCAAACAACTCTGTACCTGATAAAAATCAATAGTTCTTCACAGGACACCTTGACCCCCCCCTCTTTTTTTTTTTTTTAAGTCACCCTTCAAAAAAGGAAAAAAAAAATCCCACCTCCCCAGTGTTTTAGGTATAACAGCAAAGTTAATATTAAACCCTCTGATACTTTTTCATATTTAAAGCATATTGGATAAACAACATGGCATTTTCCTCATCTAAAAATTGTCAAGCAAGAGCTGCAGAAAATTCTTCTTTAACCAGGTTTTCCCTTTAAATGCTGAAACAAACCTATCATTTTAAGCTCCCCCATAGAAAGTTCTATTGTCATTGTTTTCTCCTTTCTTATTTTTGTGTGCACCATAGTAACACTAAGCCTTTCTGTCAAACTTACTAATCACAGCCCTGTAGGGCTCCTCTTAAAGCCTCTTAACTGTCATTTCCAGATCAGAACAGGGCTACACCTAGTTGCTCTTGTTCAAACTCCTGATGGACTAGATGCATGTTTAGCAACTAAACATATTTTAGAAATATTTGTGAAATGGCTTAAAAACCTCATTCCTGCCTATGCACCAATCTCACCAACAGAGCAGTGTCTTTAAGTCTTATGGTGAAAAGGATTAGACGATGGAATCAGATTTTTAAAGACGTAATTTTTGCTGAATGTTTCTTACATAGGAAAAAAATTTCCCCACTGTGGTGTTCACTACAGTTCCACCATCAGTTGTACTGACATAGTTGAAGGAATGGCAAGGGGAAGAGTTACTGTGGCTGTTTGTGCCAGCACTGCTACGTAAGAAATGCCTGTACATTCATCTGTTCCTCAAAGAATCGTTTGTAAGGGCTTTAGTGAGGGCTGATTGTTCTGGGTAATTTCTGTAATTGAATAAAGAAAAAATCCAACAATTTTAACTATAAATGCCACAGTGTGTGTGAGATAACACTTCAATAAAAATCCTGTATGACTTAAGGATATTAACGTACATCAAAGAAAAAGATTCCCTGATACATATATATATAATGAACATGTTGCATTGTTTTCACAGTTGTGCACTAAAGAATTCATGGGCACTTCTGAAAGCAGATTATTGCAATATATAGAAATAATATGGTGAAAGATGAACCAGCTGCTGTTATCCAACCACTTATCGAAATAGTGCACTATTTAGATTTACAGCAGTCTTAGACTAAAGGAAAATTATTTTTTAAAAAAAGATTTTCTACTCAGTCAGAGCTCAAAATACCTAATGGGAAAGAACATTTTTGAACAGAAAGAGTATGCTGAAGCTCCATTTCAGTTTTATGAGCAAGAGTATCAAAGTTTGATCAAGTGGTCATTTATTAGAAAAGTTGCCGTTTCAAACAAAAGTTGCAGACTCACAGACCTATTAGTGATATGTATCTGTTAAAAGGTTCATAATGGCTACAGTGCCATGGACACTTGTAGTCTGTGCACTCAGCACCGCTACTGTAGTGAGTACTCCTGCCCCTTCCCTTGGGCCAGCATGAATATATCTGTACAGTTACGTGGTTTGAAGAAATTGATTGAACATCAGCCTTTTTTTTGCCCAGGGTAACAGATCCTCCTATCGGTTCACTACACAGCTGCAGGAACAGATGTGCAATCAAAAAACCAAACCAGGATGTCAGAGGCTGGGCCTATCATTTTACAAAACGCAGTGAACCATCAAAACACTAAGACCCTGCTCCCAGCCCCATGCTCCTGTCACTTATATTGGCTCTTGCACTCCTAAGATTCCTGGATGAAATTTTTCAGAGCAATGCAGATTTATCCTGGATTAAAGAAACTGTATAAATCTGCCTATGGTTATATTGTTATTGCCAGTTATAGAATCAAGCAATAAAAAAAGCCATTAAAGTGATCCAGGTTAAAAATAAACATCTATTTCTCTCTGCCCTCTCTTTTGGAAATTCTACCTCTCTTTTTTTTTTTTTTTTTTTTAAAAAAAAAAGGCATCTGGGAAAAAAAAAAAAAAAAAAGAGACTCTCAGAAGGCTTTGGAGCAAAAGAGATCACAGAGAGCACATTTAGGTCATGGCAGGCTTCATCAACAGCTCGCTCTCTTGCCTGGAGGCTTGCTATCCAGCCCTAAAATCAGATGTGTAGACCACACTTTCGAAAAATATGGTTTTACATTCTATTTTGTTCATCAAAATTCTAGCATTACTAGAATGCTTTCTTGGCATTTAAATGGGGCTTTCTGGGGGGTGTCAGCTCTCTTCTAGCTGCAAGATCTGTAAAAGGTAATACTACAGGTACATTAGACCTGCTGAAAAAGTAAACTAAAACTTATTACTTCACTCCTCAGGAAACGGGAATAGCTGGGCAATCTTTGGGAAGTCAACGCTACAAGACTCAGCACTTTACAGAGTACATCCTTTAAGACACAAAGGATGTCAGAAACATGGCTAGGTCTGGAAAAACTACAAGTTGTCAAGTCCTTTAATTCTGTATCTCTAAGAAGAAAGACTTCTTCCCTCACAGTAAGTATTCCTCTGGATTTGCACAGGTAGCATCCTTCAACATACAGTTTCGTTCCAGGGACACTGGAGAAAAAGAATTTGAAACAAGATTTCAAGACTTATCTAGATCTGTTCTTGAAAGTCTTATGAGTTGCATATCAAATTGAGTGTAATAACAACACAGTACATACTGAAGAGTAGCTGGCCACAATTTTGCTAAACTGTTGAAAGATACATAAAACAGTTACTTGGCTTCGTAACTGAATTCTTAGTTTGACTTCTGCTATGATTTATTGGCAAATGAAACTTCCAACAATGAGATCTGACTGTAAGCCAGATCATCTTGCTGTAGCTGAACTCTACTTTCTAAAGAGGGAACAAAACACATGCATACTAACCTTATTTGAAAATACACAGGCAAATTCCACTTGTTGTTAAAGCTATGGTAAGAGGGATGAGATCTTAACCGTTTCACGCTGGCCTGGGAGCCACACTGTCGTTCAAATTTCCGTACAAAATCCATACTAATAGTGTACTTCTGCAGAAAGAGAACCATTCTGATCATGCACAGGGTCCCAGCAAACAAGGAAGGCCAACCCTTGTATCATGCTACACTTACACTTGAGGCTCAGAACAGGCTGATGATCACCTCATCATACAAGGCTAAAATCATTGCAGTGAAATCAAAACCAATTAACTAGCAGGTCTTATTCTATGACAAGAAAAGCTATTGCAGGACACTTCTAAAAGCATAAAATTGTCCAAGTACCCTGAACAAGCAGAACTGGTCAAAGAGATGCATCAGTATTTCTGAGCTGAATCACTGGGGTGGAACAACCGTGCTGCACAGTACTAACAGCAGAGTCAGTCACAGGAGACTAAAGTATACAACAAACAGAAACAACCAGGAATAAAGCCCATAAGTACATATATGCAAACACACGAGAACGAAAGCATGATTTTTTTTTCTGTTATATAGGACCTGTATTATAGGAATTTCTAGAACTATTCCCCTAAAGCCATGTTTTCCAAATAGAAAATATTTGCAGAAGAACTTCAAACAGTTTCAGATAAACTAGCTCTAACCACTGTATGCTTCTAATAAGATGTTTACAAATAGTATTAAGTCAGTTGCAAGCAAAGAGAAATTACATTAATCCTCAAGTGTGCTGTGAACTTACTCTCAACAGTAACACCCCGAAAATAATGAAATAAATTAAATCATACACAAAGCACTTGAGTGAAAACCAGAAGCAAAATAGTGCACAAAATGTTATTTCACACAAAACAGACCTTGCTAACAGAACACAAAGGCTATGTACATCAATATACAGCTACAGTTAAAAATCTACCTCTTGCAATGAAAACCAGTTTGGTTTATGTGCAAGTTTCTTCTATAAACCAAAAATACAAAACCAGCCATAAAACCTATCATATATGCTTATTAAGCCACTGCTGAATTAATGAAATAAGCCTGACTGAACCTCTCAGTGCTTCTGACTTCACTGCAGTAAGAGCAGCAGCAGGGCCGCAGCGGCAAGGCTTTTACCACAATTCAGAGCACCGCACGAATGATGTGATTTTGCCTCTTAAGAAGCAGTAAAGCATTCTCAGAAGCTCTTGAGTTGCTGCTTACAGGTTCTGCTCTCAGAAACTCTCCTGCAATCACAGGACATGCACTGACATGGCCATGCTTTTGTGTTGTTTATCTCCGTAAGTTCATAACTTTCTGTTAAAGGTATAATTACAGCGTATTTTTCTTGTGACATGGCAGTTTCAGTGTGTCAAGACAGTATTCTGGAAATTGCACATAAAAACTTTTAGGCAACTACTTTTCTCCCAGCACGGCTGTATTTGTAACACAATGGAACCATAAAAGATGCTGGAGTTAAATGCAGAATGAATGACAGATTAGTGCTCTTTCAGGCCTCCTTTCTTAAATAATAAACCCAGCACTGTAAAAAAGCAAACAAGCTGTTAATGCTCTGCTACCTCAAGTATTAGTCATAGATATAAACCAAACACCCTGAAAACACCTTTCAAAATAGAGACATTTATCTAGTTACCGGTAACATTATATCCAAGAGAGAGAACTAACTGCAAGATTGGTTCCCATTTCAACTTCTAGGACTGGATTGTTGACTGCACAAAGTTATTTAACACAAGCTAAAGTGTGAAACAAAAATGGAGCAATATTCAAAGAGAAGAATCTAAGCTTAAACAATCTCAAATGCATGTTTAGGGATAGAAGTAGTACTCTTTTCAAATACCTGTAAATCTACAAATCTGACTCAGAAATAAGGACATGACACCTGAAACAATTTATAGAAAACCAACCACTCTGCACAAGTAAATAGTTATTTTTAGCATATATGCTTAACACTGACAGTTTCATTTTTACAGGATTTGAAAACTGAATTTAAAAATTGAAATTTTCCATTCCCCACCTCTACATCTAAAAACCTAAGAGATAATACTGCATATTCAAACTTTTCAGCGTTAAACCTATACATATATACATATGCAAACAAACCTGGAGAAAGACTTTTCTGCATTTCTATCAACCTAGAAAACAGAGATAGAAGATTACAGTCTAAAATCTGTGTTGTACTACTCTGATTATCAGCAGTGCAGAAACAATTTTAAAGGGTTTTTTTTTCCCCCCCTCTTAATTCAGAACTATTAGTCTTCAGACAGCCATAATAGCATTTTTACACTTGGCATTTCAACTTACTGATTTTTAGATAATATATTTTAATGATTTAGACTCTGCATCACTTCAATAGTTAAAAGCAGTCTGGAAAGTACTTTAGACTTACTACATGATTTACCTGAAAGTCATGGGGCGTTGTTGGGTTTTATGTTCATTTGTTTGTTTGCTTAATAAATACAGTGTCACTGTTGGTCAATAATGGCTTAATATAAGATGACAGCCTTTTAAAAATAATTCATTTAAAATAGCTAACCCAGCTCTTTTGAAGATAAAACACATTCTTGTGTAAACCAAGCAGCACAGCCAACAGAAGCCCAGCACTGCTCACAATTTGCAGTATGCAGGGCATTAGGTGAAAGCTTGAAAAGCAGCTGGAACTTTATAGGAAAATAAGTACTCTCACTAGGGAGGGGGAACACCCTACAGTGTCATTTGCATAGTATTACCAAACTTTCTTCAATATCCCTTTCATTTGCTTCTTATTCAGAGCCAGTCCTGCAAACATGCATTGTCATGCCTGCCCACCTTCAATTATTCAATATACCTGTATGAAAGAGATCTTAAAACTCCAAGAAAAATATAAGTAATTACTAAAAACATTTCTGCATGAACACAGGAAGAATCATTTGCCTTATAAAGCTCCACCAGCAATCTAACATTTCCTTAAGTCATCTGTCCTGATCTGCCGACTATGCCTTCCTTCAGACAATTTATCACTGCCTGCCATCTCCATCTTGAAAAGAAAAGGTTTCACACTTATCGTAAGTCAAGCTGCAAAGAAAAAAATGCAGTTATTTCAGCAGTCATGGTTACATACAGGACAGACAGGACATGAAGAAAAACAGAAAGCTCATACTTTCTACTGGTGACACTAATAAAGTACTGACAGAGCCGATCTTCATACTAGACCAGGAAACCTGTTTCAACATTGGTAAAGGATGACCTTTTAGAGGCAGAGAAGCACTGCCAATGATGAAAATACAAGTACTTTAAATGCATTTGATAAAGCAAGCTTGCTTCTTAATTGGTTGCCATACCAGAGAAAATACTACTTTTATGTTCTAAACCTCATCACACTGCCTCCAAGTATTTTTGTTTCTTTTAGTTGACTTGTGTTTCTAATCACAACATCATCTGCAGTACTGACAGAGGGCAAAAGCTAAAACAAGCAAGTGATACAAAGATTTTTTTAACTTTCCCATACAGTAGAGCAAGTTGTATTTAATTAACATGACAGCCCTTGCTATACAGAAGTCCTAGTGCTGGGCAGTGGAGCTGTCCACTCCCACCTTCACTTCTGTTGCAATTCTACAACTAAGAAAGAACATCTACTCCTTAAACAAATACTAAGGCCAAATTCACACAACTAAATTGCTTCCAATAAATTCAGTATGAGCTTTCCTGTCAAACTTGAGGGAAGAATTAATTCCTATAAAAACTAAACCAAGTGATTTGATACAATCTCCTCTTCTGAGCCATACAACAACACGAATTTACACAAAAGCAGCAGGGGGGGGAAAAAAAAGCTAGAGAACATGACTCATTCATGTCTTGTGTGTATCAGAGGAATCACAAATGGAAAAAAAATACAATAAATTACCTCATGAAACACATCTGGGTTTCCAGGGTTAAAGAGTGATGGCAATTTCTCTTCTAAACCATGTACTATTTCTGGCCACACTGAATTCACCAAGAAATCATATCCAGGAACAATATCGGCTTTTTCACTGAAACAAAATCGCAATTATTCCATGATTACGTTTTACCACCAGGCTTCTATTTGGAGGTAGGGATAATTAAAAAGACATGCACTGCATTAGACAAAACATAATTAAGTTTTTTTTTTATGTATGTCTTATGATTCCCTTAAACTGTTCTTCCTTTGAGGTTTCTTACCTGATCCTACAGTCTCATCAAATGCAAGGTATTTTTTATTACTCTCAAAGTGTTTTAAAATTTTATTGGTTCTGTATTTTGTGTGTTCTGGAAAACGAGGACATTTCAGCTGAGAACTCCTATTCTTACTTGTATATTTCAAGTTTTAACAGCTCCAAAGTTCAAAGAGGTACCGAGTAATGTGACTAATGCAATGGAAAGAAGCAAAATTTTTTCATAACTATTCCAAGTTGTATTTATACATGATATTGTGCTTTGAAGCAAGAGTAAAAGCTACCTTGATTACGAAAATTTATAAATTGAGAGCGGAAGAGATAAAAGCATTTCAGTTCAGTACACCACAGTTGAATGTAGAAACGTTCCATTATTAAGAAAGAATAAAGATTAAAACTTGCTGAGGGATTAAAAGAATTGAAGTGTTAGTAAAACCTGGGAGTCATAAAAAGCTCAGCAATGGATGACTAATTAGAAAAGTAATTCTGCTGTCCCTAGGGGCTACATCCATAGTTCTGCTAATTACAGCAGTCTACTCTATTAACCAGCCTGCAAACAGATGAATAAATGGATACAATTCAGTAGACCTAAATTATTTAAACTCCAAAACAGGCAATTTAATTGCACAAAAGCACTCTTGAAGACAGTGGAAGCACAAATCAATTAAACCTGTAGTTCCAGTACATGCAATGAAACAGTCAAACCTCTGGGGATCATCCCCACTTTTCTGATGTGCACTAACAACCCAGTAACTTTTGAACTTACTGTTTTTAACAGCTTTATTATGCCCTTCTCCTTGGTTGAAGTGTACCATCATATTCCACAGATTCAAAACCACAAAGTGTCTGACACACTGTACTGTGAACAGCACTCAATCCTACTACTGAAAGACACAATTATCTTTTCCTTCTCTGGAGGTCTGGGCCACCAAGAAAGTTTGTTCACTGTTGTGTTTCGAAAAACACAGACATGAGAGAGAAATCAAATTTGACTATGAATCTTCAGAAAAGGCCAGAGAAGCCATTCGCACATGAAAACTAAACGTGCAAAGCATGTCAAAAGTATGTGATACTTGCTGTAACTTTAGTGCAACCAAAAGAAACCCCAAGATAATTTACCTTGAAATAGCTCCCCCTGTTACTTCACGCAAGAGACGGCAATGATGAGGAACAAACTCCAGCAGTTTATTGTACATAGCCTGAAGGCCATTAGGATGAGATTGAACGTACTGTTCCACAATCACCTGCCAGGAAGAGTTCAATGTTAAATGTCAGGAAAGTAAACATAAAATACTGTAATGCAAGACTCACTCAAAACTCCTATGATGATAACCCCAAGCATTGGGATAGTCAATGTATTACTTTTTTATATTACAGTTTCCAAGTATAACTTGCCAGCTTGAATTATTACCTCCTTTAATGCAGCACTCCAACTGGCAAGACTGGCCCCAAGAAAGAGAACAAGCTCCTTGCTTTTAAATGTTAGCCACCATGTCTGGCTCCTCACCCACTGCACACATCACTGTCACCTGAAGCAGTCTGTGAGGTTAAACAGGTGACTGGCAAAAGCTAATCAAACCTCAGAATAAAGTAAAAAATTTCTTCTAAATTTAGAGGTGGTTGGTCTAATCCCAAATGCAGGTACACCAACAGCCAAGAATCTTCTGTGACAATGCTAAGCCTTTAATGCAGCTAGCAAAGCAGTTTGTCTGGACAGTACCTCATACTCAGTGCCAAAGCAGCTCTTGTACTTCACAGTTTTTCCTCCTCACAGGAGCAGGAAAATTAATACTGCGGAAAGATTCATAATGCTAGTCTTAGAACAACAACTTCATAGCCCTGGTGCTGGCCCAGTTTAACTTCTTCTTTAAGGACAGTGAATTTCATGCATTTGTGAACTACTCTGACAATCTAGTGAAAGCCAAGGAAACTTCCTGCAACAGGGCAGTCAGTCAGCACTAGTAATTACATTGTAAAAGGGCACTGATTCAACTCTCAGTAGGGAACAAATATCCTCTGAAACAATGGAATTGCGACCTGACCTGGACATAATCCCAATGCACTGATGAAAAGGGTCAAAAGAAGTCTTGGTATTATGGCATTATGGCAACATCACTTCAGCACATTCATTAAAAATGTAACAAACCTGTTTATCAAGTCATTTCAAACACAGCAGACCATCAAATACTTTCAATTGAATTTTTAGATTTTTACTTGAATCTCAAAACTAGAGTTACCATAATGTAACTGTAGGCCCTTAAAAATTATTTTAGTGGCAACTGCAGGTGTGCTGACATACAAGAAAAATTGAGCACAACAGACTGACTTGTTGATTGTTACACTATTGCGTCAGGTCACAGTCCAAGGATGTTTTTTGAGAAATTATATTATCATCAACCACAACAAAAAGAAAAAAAAAAAGTAGCGTAGACTAGGCACCAACTGTTCAGGCCAGAAGAAGTGGCAAGAACAAACAGTGCCACAAGAAGGTGAGGAACAATTTGCACGGTCAAGAGTATTAGCAGGAAGTCCCCTAATTTCAGAAAACTTAATCAGTACTTTGTGATTGGTCCAACTTGGTACTGTAAACTCATGGCCTACTGGAATCAGTTTCTCATGAATTGAGAAACTGGCCATCCAACAGATTTTTCCCCACCAGACAACAGCAAATGGTTCCCAAACAAATACTTGTTCCTGCTCTTCATAATGTCCTGGTACAGCCGGGAACTGCAGAAACTGCCTCTTCATACAACGGGAAGAAAAGGACATTGCACTAAGAACTACTTTTGCTGCATTTGCCTGCTACTGAGCCAGCCATGGAGAAATGAAAACCCCAGATCCAATCCAATTACCACAGATGCACCCTGGTCCAGAATAAATTTGGTTTGACTCCAGTCATATGCTTAGTTTAAGGTTTGTCTTTTGGATTCCTCGCCCCAAGACAAACATAGGTAAGAAAAAGAATCCCAACCGGATGTAACCCAAAATTGATGACAGGCAGACAGAGAATTGCTCCACCTTTTTTTCTCAAATAGCAACAACAAACAAAGTGACATCGTGTTGGGGCTCAGTTCTCCTGCTCTCTCCACAAAGGCATTTTGGTGCTGCTACTGAAATCTGGAGGTTAAAGGGAAAATTAAGCATGTTTGCAAATCAATTCATTTTCTTAGGATTCTTAATTTTTTCTTACCTCATCTATATAAGGTTTTACAAGCACTTGACCAACTAAAGCCTCTGCATCTCGCGTTTTGTCAATTGTTGCATAAGTGCGAAGACAGTGACGTATTATGTCAACATTTGAAGTCTGAAGGCCTTCCAAGAGCAACCCTTCCAGAGATTGCTGCAACATAGCTGTTATTCCAGCTATACGCTATGAAGAGAAACAAAACAGTGTAAAAAAAAAAAAGAACCAAAACCAAAAGGAAAGCCTTCCCTCATCGCCAAAGTAAATTCTTCCAGAAATACCTAACTCAGCTTTCCATTTTCATTTGAAAGGTGCACAAGTTTTGATAACCGTCAGCATTACATGAGCATTAATACAAGTTTAATGGGTTACTGCTGCTACTTAACACAGTATTTATTATAACAAGGTTAAAAGGCAATTATTTTCCTCTATACGTTGCAAGTTACGCGGTAACTTATCTAAGGTCCCTTTTATCCTGGAGAAACAGGTCAATAATTGTTCCTTGTTCAACTGAACCACTATGTGTGATAATACACAAAAGCTTTACAGTAAGCCGCCATGGAAAACAACTGTGGCACTTAACCCCCACTGTCAAAACCGAAAATTACATTGTGTTCCCAGCACTACTTGTCAAGTTACTGCAAACCAAAGACATGGAGTGACACTGGCAAAAACTGACATGTCGTTACAGATTCCTCCTGGCTTCTGCCAAACAGCTGCTTCAGTCAACAAATATTCTCCCTTTTGCTGACCATTTGCTGATCTTCTGCTACATCTCTTCCACTAGATCCAACTCGTTGCCACACTACCCGCACATAAACTCCTGGCCCAAGATGATCACTTACAATGCTGTATTTGAAGCAAGTTCAGCACCACACATGAATGTAGTCATAGCTGAACTACCAATTTAACCAGTCAAATTTCTTCTCTGCCCTTCTGCATGCTGTATTGTGTCCATCCATCCTAAAATGATTCCATGGAATTTGTTCTCAACATGCAAAGTCAGTAACCCAAGTGCTGACTAGTGATAAAGCCTACAATCTGATGACCCTCAGCAACAACAGGTACAGGACAGAAGTCCTCGCAAGCACCATTAAGGAAGCACACAACAAAGTACCAAAGGTTCTCCGACCATGAGCACTACTCTCTTGCTCACATTTACTCCTGTTATTATCCATGTTTGATAACTCAGTGGCCAGAACAGTCTTGTGAGCTGTCCAATATGGAATCAATATGGTACCACAGAAGTCTTGAGCTGAAACATGTTCATATTGCCAACAGGCATACGTATATAGTGAAAAAACTGGAGCTACGAACTACCTCACTAGCTCAAAAGCCATCAAGAATGACAGCTCCAAGCTCACCAGCCTAAAGCATTACCCCATCTCCATATTCATATCATCTACCTTTAAGCACCAGTTTTCATTTGTTCCCTCTCTCCAATGAGCAGATAGAAGAAAACAAACAAACATGAAGACATCAATTCATCTTTTACAGCAGATAGTTATTACAAACAGGTTATTAGGGAGATTAGCATATCAGCCTGAGTAGCCAGAGTTAGGCAACAAATTTCACCAAAAGACAAACTTGAATATATTCAAGGCAGCCACCCTGTAGGCACATTCTTTTTATATTCTGGTCCGCACACTGCAGCTAACGAAACCAACACAAATCTCTAGAACTAGGCCTCAGTTTCAGTATGCAGACAAACTGCAAGCCACATTAGGCTGACAAAAATGTCTGTTGTATTTCCTACTCTTGTTCTTAGTAATTTACCCTAAAGAAGTAGCAAACAAAGCACAAACCCTCAGAAGCAGCAATACTTCTAGTCAACTGATAAAAAAAAAAAAAAGAAGACCTCTTGAACCTCATTTCCCCCCATGAATTAATTCAATAAAACCCTGTGGAAACAAGCATTTGTCCTCCAATTATACTGGTTTTGCTTGATCCTTACTTAACAAGTGCTAAGCAGGCTGTCATGCAATACTTACTGGTCTCACTTTGTCCAAAAGGGGCATTCCTTTGCTTTGTACGGCATGAAATTGCAGTTGATTAAATTCTGTGGCGATTCTCTCTAAAACCTGTCCAGTTAACAGTGGGCTAGAATAGAGATGATACAAAATGAGAATACACAGTTAGATCCTTTCAAATTAACTCACTTTCACCTGCAGCAGATAGACAATGGTCTCCTCAATTTTTGTGGTTTACTCTAAATATTTGGAATGCCAATAGGTATTACTAAAAATTATTTCAATCATGCAATAATAATCTGGAACAGACTACATGATTAGAGTTGTTTTGGAGCTACTAAGATATGAAGTGGGTGCAGCAGAAGCTGAGAGGAATGCAAGACCTTGCCTTAGCAGTATGAAGCACTGCTTTCTATATGGCAGTGCTCTTTATTGTCACATGAAAAGTCAGTCTTACAGAGCTCAGAAACTGCAGTAAGCGCTCTTCACCATCCAGATTTGTTTCTTATTTCCTGTTTCTGTCATGTGGTAAAACTAATGACAGCTATCTCTAAACAGGCCTGCCCTTCTCAGGTCCACATAGTCCAAATAATTAGCCAAAATTTCAGCCACTCGAGTACAATCTTGCTTCCAAACATAATTCTGCAAAGTGCCTCACCCTGACTGAAAACACCTGCATACGCTTTGTCCCTCTAAGTATCAACCTACTCTTCTGCCTACCTCCCCCCACTCACTACCATGTGATCCAGTGCACTAAACTGAAGTGTCAGTGTCACATTCAAACAGGTTCACGAAATTGTCTTTTTCCTCCAGCTTAAGTTGCACTTGCATCCCAGTCAACTATTTCAAGCATATGGCTGGTACATCAGTTCCAAAACTGGCTGAAAGACATCTTCCATCCCTCAGCAAAGGCAGAGGGATAGGACACTTTCCATGAAGTTGTTGAAAAACAAAACTTGGAGGTCTGACTGGAATTTGTCACAACCCTTCCTTGTACCAGAAGTATTACACGTGTGGCTTGCCTGCCTTAAGACTATTCTTGCAGCAGTCCTTTCAGTTATACGTAAGCATGGAAAAAAAGAAAAGCTACTTCCCATTTTACTTCCAAATGATATTGAAATAAACTCTACTGCAGAGAGTATTTCAGACGTGACAGGATTAGCGACTTCCAAGAAAAAAAAAAATTATTGCATGCAAACTTCAAAAAGCACATTTACTGAAAGCGCTACAAGTAATTCAGAACTTTGGAGGCTGAGTTACGTAGTCTGTGAATTACCAGTCTGTAGTAGTCTAAAACTGAGAAAACAGTCTCTTATTTCATTGGAGTTGCATTTCTAAAGATATATCTTAATGCTTGTAAATTCATCCACAACAATACCATGAAATTAAGTTAGTCCAATCAATTACAAAGATAATTGAACACCACATATTTTTTACCTGTTTCCCTCTAATGAGGACAATTCTTTAGTGCCTTGGGAATGTAGAATCTTCTCGATTTTCTCAACAGACTGAATAACATGAATAAGTCTCAGGACACACATCTGTAATTAAAGAAACATTTTTCATGTCTGACCCCAATCTAAATTTACATTAGCTAATGACCCTGAAGATATTTTTGATGTTTTTTTAGTGGTTTTTTTTTTTTCCCTAGTGTAAGTTTTCTCCCTCCATCTTAATACTTGAGTCATGCCTTAGTTGAAGTGTTGCTTACGTAAGTCCACAAAACCCCATAAACAAATGTTTGTCACAGACATAGAACAGCTGTTCTTATCCCCGATTTTTTTCCACGTTAAGCACAAAGACAAACGTTAGTGTGTGTCCCTCCATATAAAAATTAAACTGCTGTCTTTCAATTACATTCATAATAAGCAAGTTTATTTACTACTACAAGCAGAAACAAAAGTAACTATAATTAAAAAAAGCCAATAAAATCAAACATGTGTTTTAGGCAAATAAAGTAAAAGAAAGATTTATGATCTACTACGCACTGTAAAAAATGAAGTCTGTCAGCCAAAATGTCAATAATTATTTTTACAAGTATGAAATCCTGCCCAGTGTGCATCTACACAACCTAGAACTTTTAAAATTTCATTTTCCCTGCATTAATGCCAAAATCAAAGTCTTCCTAAGGAGGATCTTTTCAAGGTAATGATTTATCTGTTGTACCTTTTTTCTTCTAATATCTTCTTGTTTAGTCATCCGGTCATCTACTGCTTGAATTCCTTCACTGACACACGACTTAAGACTCTGAGAGAGAGAAAGTCAGTAAGTAAAGCTGGCTTTCCACCTGAGGTTTAAAGAAACCTTAACTCAAAAATCTAAACTTAAAACAGGAGACATTAATTAGGAATAGAGGATTAATAAAAGCAACAATGCATCAACAGCCCCTTATGTGAAAAAGCCAGAAATAAGACTAAATAACTGAAAGTATAACCTGCTCCTTAAGCACTGCCACTACAAGCATCATCATTTCAACCGGAAGTGTTCTTTCAGTACCTTACAGAGAATAAACCACCTTTCACCCAGAAACAGGCAATAAAACCAATATGACTTTATGTCTTGATACTGGAATCATAAGTCAGATTTAAGTAGCATTTTTCACATAATAAATCTTTCTCTATGCTAACTGAACCTATTTTCTGTTTTAGGCATCAAGACTGTGATATTTTGAAGGCACATTTATGCAGCATACATCTCTTTGAACAGGCTGCCAAGATGATCGAAATTGTCCTTTGCTAAATACCAAGTCACTGTGGAAGAGCCAGAATAAGACCCGCCTTCAAGAGGGTGATCTTTTATGGTTAAACCACAGGACTGAGCAAAAAAAGTCCTTAACGGGACTGTGTTGCATCTGAGTTATTTACTATTATCTTTAAATTACTCAAATATTAAAACAGTTTCAATACTTCACCATAGACTTGTCTTGCAAGAGTCCATTCATTTATCACGTTTAAGGAATTCTTCATCTCTTAGTTGAAAGGCACTATAGAAAATGTAAATTTACTAATACTACAACTGCTCGAAAACACAATGCCTCTCCAACTACCCCTCTAAGTCACCGATTTTCAAAGTGAAGTTCATTACAATAATTATTAGCATGAGTAAAACACACTCTGTACATCATGAAAGTGAGCTGAAGTTTACCAAGTCGCATATACTGATTGTTTTGAGCATACCATAACTTCTTCCCTTAACTGTCCCAAGGGTACTGAAAGCTGATTAAGAGCCTTGTCCATGCCAACCTAAAGAAATTACCACAAAAACATTTATGACCTTTTTGATAAATTCATATGTGAATTACTGATAAAGCCTATCATTTTAGAGATACTAAAAGAGAACTCAGAAAAGATTCCTCCCTTTATAGTCTCCAGTTCTAAATTCAACGCAAAAATCTGTTACCTCAAATACAGGAGGCACAGAGATAGCAGACTGCTTGTCAGACAAAGCCAAAAATTAAAGAAAATCTTGACCTATGGGAAATTTTCTTCCCATAAAAATGTTAAATTGCAGTCTTTGAACCTGTATAATTGGAACCTGGATGAACTGGAGTGAAAGATCAGGAGACACAGCGGATAGGACATTTTAATACAAAAATTATTATGATTTTCAGTCAAGTAGGTTGGGTTGTTTTGGTTTGGTTTGTTTTTAAGATATATTGACTGTATAGTAAGTTTAAAGATTCCTAAAAGAATCATTCAGAATGGTCTTATTTGTATAATTTCTCTTCTATTTTAATTATTTGCTTCAATTTTATAACCACTGGCAGTTTGGGAGGGAAAAAAAAAAAGCGTGCCTTGAAACTAGTTTTTCCAAGGAAAAAGCATACGTCTAAAACATTTATTACAGGCCAACAGCAATTCTGCACAGTAGCTAAGTTCTACAGGAATGGTCTTTCAGTTTCTCTCAGTGCAAGGGATCACAGTCTAACATGTCTTAAATCTAACACTGCCAAAACAAAACTTATATATTTTTCATATGAAAAATAAAAATCCCACTAAACTATATTAAGTCTGAACTATACAGTACAAGTTAATAACACTTACTAGATTTGTTGAGAGATTAACAAAATCTGCATAGTCCTTATTTATAAGTTCCACCATTGCAGTTTTAAGGAGTTTGTAATAGAGCTCCAGATCCTCTCTGAGCTCTTCCAACTGCACACGTTTCCTGCAGTCTGATACAAAGTGATCAACATCAAAATCTGGCTAAAAATGGAAAGAAAAGAGAGTAGGATGTAAGTAACAAGTTCAAATCAGGAACACACCCCTCCCCACCACCAAAATAAAGTATTCCATACACCAGCGAGCAGACCATACTAAAGCTCTGGGCAACAAAAAGGCTATTAAACGAGTAGTTTCCAGTATTCCACAGTCTTGGTCTTTAATCTCAAAAGCACACAATGCCGTGGGTCACAGTACCTAGAAGACTAGACCTCCAAAATACAGGGTTGTATATTCCCTGTATACACTTTGAAAACAAAACAACCGACCGAAAGTCGAAATACAGTATTAAGAACTACTTTAAGCTCTCCAGGCAAGGAGGCCTGAATGCCGGCTACCAGCCTGTGTCCAACTTGGCTTCAAAGTAGGCGGAGTATGATTTGGAGGAAGCACGACTCGGGTCTGCCCTGGGAGGTGAACCGCTGCACTCGGCCCGGGCCCGGGCCAGAGACACTCGGACCGCTCAGACCCCGTTTCAGTCTCGCCAGGCTTAGACGCAGCCCCGGCTTGGGCACCCCCCGGTGCAGCGGGGCGAGCCGCCCGGCTTTGTAAAAGGCCCGGATCCCCCTTTCAGCCACACGCTCAGCGCTTCTCCGGCGGCCCCAGCCCGAGGAAAAAGCCGTGGCGGAGCTAAAAGATCCCGACCAAGGCTCCTGACCCCTCTCACCCGCTAGGGAACACGCCACCCCCATCCTCAGGAGGCCACCCC